GGGTGATAATTCTTGGTGGAAGGGTGTAGGCAATCTCATCATAGGTCTGACCCATCTACCTCTCCCCTCCCCACAGCTGCAGAATTTACTGAGGCTGATGCCATTTGCAGCTGCTGGGGCAGGGTGGGCAGAATGTACTGAACCTGGATGATACTCCCAGGCCTTGCCTAGAGGGGCGGGCTGCAAGGTGCCCAGTGGCACAGGGCTGTTAGGGACGGACACTGCTAGTCTGTGATAGCTGCCCCTCCCCTCTTTTTGCCAGGTGGGGAAGGCTGATTTAAGTTTTCCCTACAATTCTTCAGCATTCTCTTCTCTTCTGTTAAAAATCCCCATATTGAGATGCTTATCTCTGAGGAAGGAGTAGGGAATGCTGAGGAATGAGGATTGGGAGGAGGTGTTTTAGTGGAGGGTGAGCTCCTGGAATTACCCCCAGTCTCAGGAGTTTTCTCCAACATTCCCAAAATGATAAATTTCCCAATTTCTTAATGATTAATCTCAAAACCTCCAGAATGTGCTAAGATTTAGTCTTTAGCTATATCTGACTTTTCACTGTAGCTCTAGGCTGGCCAGGCCCGGACCCACAAGGAAAAGAGTCTTACAAGTTTGTTTGTTTTTTTTTTTCCCTAGCTACAGCCCTTAGAAGTCTCTGGCTGCATTTTAAATCTTACAGGGTAATAGTCTTGTCATAGCACACATGATACAGACACAGATACACACACTGACAGACAAATTGACAGGACAAATACAATACAGACATAATGAGCATTGAATGACAGAGAGAGGGAGAATTAGAGGCTTGTTAGAAACCCTCAACACAAATTGGCTATTTATTATTATTTTGAGGAAGGAAGGTTGGGGAATTTGCAAGGATCTAAGACCTGATAGTGTAAATGGAACTTGCGAGCCTTCTTCAGGGTGCCCCTGAAGTTGCAAATTTAAAGGGGTAAACCCTAATGAAGTTAAGTTCGGGATCTGAGTCCCTGTCAGGACCATAGCCTTTAAGGGAAAGGAGTGGGGAAAGAGATTGTTCAGAGCCTGAGACAGAGTGCTGAAGCAGCTTTGCGAGCCTTAGGAGGCTTCTGCCTTTCCTTCTCTCTCAGCAACCCAACTATGAAAACATTCCCACTCCTGGCTAGATGTTTTGTTGGCCTTTAAACTTAATTTGGTTTTAAGAGAAAGTAACTTTGACCTGTCAAAAGAACCTTATCGTGGCCAACATAATTTGGGGCTATCTTTAGTTAACTGATGTCAGTGCTGACAGTATTTGTGGTCATCAGATTGGTAATGGCTTGACATATAAGAGGCAGTGGTCTTGTTAGCCAGATTTCTAGTTTTAGTTTCTGATTGATCCATAGCTAATTTTCCTAGACCAATTCTTACCTGAAGGGATCCACCTGATACAGAGTGATTGAACCTTGACTTGATCCCTGACCCCACAGCTAGCTTTGTAAAGGGAATTTTTTTTGGACTTCAACCAAACTAGTGGGAGGCCCATGGAAGCTGGGAATAGTAGAACTTTCCCTACCACTTCAAGGTTAGAACGCCAGGAAAAATGGATCCTGAGGCGCCCAAGCCACTGCCATTGCCGGGGTGGGGTACTGTTTTCTTCTACTCCTTCAGTTCCATCTGTAGTCACTGGCACCATAACTGTTGACCTGAAAGTTGGTTAAAGAGGCAACAAGCTAGGTGTTGAGTAAATTCATCTTGTTTATTCCCTTAAGTTAGCGACATGTACATGGAGCCAGAGCTTTAACTCTGACTGACTTAGCAATTTTAGGAGGACATTTAAATCCTGACTCAGGATGTCCGTGTTACTCAGATTTATGGTCTCCATGTATGTTTAACCATAGCATGAGAAAGGAATTTTCTTAATTGAATAGGTTGTAAATACAATAAGATAGGAGAATGTCAAAGTGTTAACTGAAATTATAGATCCAGGATATCTGTATTTCCTTTACCATTAACACGACATAGTATCGTATATGTCCATAAAATACCAAGATAAGACAAGTCCCATTATTCAAGGTAGTGTCTGGGTTAAGGCACCTTAGTGGTCATAAACAAAAGAATGCTGGTCAGCGTCATCTGGTCCTGTAGTTACTAACACAGGAAGGGGCATTTTGAGTTCATTCAGAGAAAAAAGAAAGGAATATCTATTATGGTAGAGTGCTTCTTCTGGTTGATTAGTTCAGACTTTGGCCCTTATTGGGGTTCAAATGATCTTAAATGATTATCAATACATAGGGAAAAAAATTCCCTGTCCTTCCACCTGGATTTACCATAGGCAAACACATTATGTCCAAAACAGCATAATAACTTTCTCACTCTTCCAAACTTCCTTATCGCTGTCAAAGGTACCAGCACAGCTTCAAATCACCCAGGTTCATGACCAGAGAGTCGCCGTTGACCCTCCCCCTCCATTACCCACTCCCCCAACATCTAGGCAGTGACCAAGGCTCATTGATTCTACCTCCATAAAACCCCTCCTACTCCCACTCCCATTTAAAAGAGCAGATCAGTGAATTGGGCATGATACTAAAAAACAGAAAAAGAACAAATTAAAAGTCTCCACTTAAACACCAAATTGGGAATTCTGAAAATCAAAGGAGACATCAACAAAATTGAAAGTGATTAAACCACCAAAGCAATAAGTGAAACTATGAGGTGGTTTTATGGGGGCGGGGGGGGGGGGGGAACCAATGAAACAGATAAATGGCTGGTTAATTTGATTTAAAAAACAAAGTAAGAGGAAAACCAAAGTAAGGGTGAAGTGAAACCCACTCCCCACTGCTGGAGATCACAGAAGTCCATCCTCTTCACTATGGCTTAGCCAGGGAGGAAAGAATGAGAGATTGAGTCACTGGGGCTTCTGTATGGACACACAGCTTTCATTTTGATGGCCAATCAAAAAGTCTCCTCTTCAGCACACAATTAGGGGACAGGAAACAGTCAGATGACCTGCACCTGCTCTAAAGTAGAGAGCAGGGCCTTCATCATGGTGCATGCTTAGAAACAGGCCCAGCAAACATCCATGTTGGGGACTGCATCAGACAGAGCACACTTTGCATGCTCTTAAGGCCTGGCCTTTTGTTGGTCAGTCCCCCATTGGGTAGTCAGTAAACACTTATTAAGCACCTACTATGTGCCAGCCAATAAGCATTTATTAAGTGCCTCCTATGTGCCAGGCACTGTGCTAAGTGCTGGTATACAAACACAGGCAAAAAGAGAGTTCCTCCCCTTGAGTAACTCAGTCTAATGGAGGAGACAACAAGCAACAAGTTATATACAGGATAAACAGGAAGTAATTAACATAAACTAGGCACAAATTGAGAGGAATCAGGAAGAGCTTCCTGCAGAAGGTGGGATTTTAGCTGGGACTGCAAGGAAGCCAGAGAATCCAGGAGGGGGAGATGAGGACAGAGAATGTTCGAGGCTTGAAGGACAGTCAGTGAAAATGCCCAGAGCTGAGAAATGGAGAGGGTTGTTGATGGGCAGAGGGAAGGAATATATCAGGAGATGCCTGTGGTATGAAAACAAAAGGCATCAGTAAAACATTTGAAAAAAGAAAAAGAAATGATTCTCCTCGGACAGGCCCTTCAGGACAGTTTGCACAAAGCACAGAATACAGGACCCTTCAGACAATTTGTACAAGGCTCAGAATATAGCAGGATGCCCGAGCACTGGATGTGAGTGGATATATTCTTGACCACCAGAAGCAATTCTCTTCCTCCCATCCCGAAGCACCAAATCCCTGCACTCAGACAACGGACCCTGTCCGTCGTCTTCCTACCTGGAGGAACCCCCTGCAGTGCTCCAGACTTTACTGTTTCTGCTTCGTGCCAGCCTGAGCATCATTGTCATGGTTGGTGGCACCTGTCAGGTAGAACGGGCATGCCTCCACTGTCCTCGTTCCTGCCGCCCCTCACAGTGTAGCAGAAAGAGCACTGACCTTGGAATCAGAGATCCTGGATTTGAAAGTCAGTTCTGTTACTTGGACAAATTATTCCAACTCTCAGGGTCTCAGTTTGCTTACCTGTTACGTGAGACGGAAGAGATGACCCCTTATGCCCCCTTCTGCTCTAGGTCTAAGATCCCGTCTACACTTACTACCCACGTGACCTCCGGCCAGTCCCCTAGCTTCCCTGGACCTCAGTTTCCTCGTCTGTAAAGTGAGGCGGTCGGACCGGATGCTGTCTAACGTCTTTTCCAGCTCTTAGTCTAGAAACCTGTGAAGGAGAGCCAGAGCCCAGAGGGGAGGCTCCATCACTCAGAGGGTAGGAGAATTTCAGTGGGAGGAGGAGAGAGTGGCTGGCTCTGTCCTGCTTTGGAGGCCATCTTCATAACAGAACTTGGTCCCTTGGGAGAAGGCTAGCGTATGGCCAGGCTGCTCTGGTTTAGACAAGGTCCAAGGTCGTTAGTCCATCGATGGCCCAGAGAGGAGGCTGAGTGCCAGAAAGGGAAACACGATGGAACAGACCAGGGAACAGTCTTGCTTTGGGAATAGAGCAGAGCTCTGTCCGCATGCAGACCTATGGCCCCCACCTCTGGAACTGTTGGATTCAAAGCCAGCAGAGCAACGGATAGCCGAGTGGTGGGGGAGGGGTTTCCCATGGCTCTGAGGGATGACACTGGGTCCCATCCAAGGCTCGGGTACCGTAGTAAAAGCCCCACTGTAAGGCCGAAGGAGCTCATTCAGGGAGGAGATCCAAAGAGCCCTGGTTGCTGTTGCCATAGGGATATCACAAAAGCAGACCCTGTGTTAGGGTCATCGGCAGAGAAGGGGGTCATCTGAGAGCCTGGGGAATCTCTGGGGGTGAGAGTCAACTCTTCTGCACGCAGCTTATAGAGCCTTGGGGGTGAGATAGGGCCATGTCACCCAGAAGACCGGGGGGTGAGTCAAGGGGCTGAAGGACAGAGGCCCAGTATCATTAACTGCCTCTTTCGGGTCATATCCGTGTCTGCGTCTCCAGCTATGCTCCCTCCTAGAGAGTCAAGGGGCCATGGATGAGGAGCAGAAAGAGTTTCCATCCAGGGGTCCCCGGATGGAAAGCTTGGGGTTTGGATTCAGTCCCTCCCATGTCAAGTTGGGGGCCTTCTTGCTGTTGGTGGAGCTCCTTCTTCCAGGCATGTACTGCATTCAGAGATCAGTGTATTTCTCTTTCTATGAAATCATCATCCCCAGGAGATTGGTGAGCTGGAGGAGAGAAGACCAACCAGAGAAAATGCACTATTCATTCTTTATGAAAGGGAGTTGGCATGTCATTAGCCTGAAGCAGAAAAGAGGGCTCTCTGTCCAGAATTTCCCCGTCTATACCTACTCCAATGGGATCCCAGGCCTGGACATGCCTTTTATCCAAGATGATTGCTACTATGATGGGTACCTGGTAGGTGACCAGGGGTCCTTTGCATCCATCAGCACCTGCTCAGGACTCAAGGGAATCCTTATCATCCAGACAGTTGCCTTTGGCATCCTGCCAGTGAAATCCTCCAAAAAATTTGAGCATGCTGTGTATCGCTTGTCTAAGGTATCACGTGATGCCTGTGGGGTCAAGGAAAGGGAAAGCCAAGAGTCCTGGGCAAGCGCGAAAGGCCTTGGCCCGACGGAACTCTCCCCAGCACACTTCCCCTATGCCTGGTCACAGACTAAGTACTTGGAGATCTTTATAGTGGTAGACAACATTCGGTTCCAGATGTGGGACAGGAACGTGACCACAACCACTCAGACACTCTTGGATGTCCTTTCTTTGGTCAACCAACGCATGAAGCAGATCAACTTAGAAGTAGTGTTGGCTGGGGTGGAGATATGGTCTGAGAGGGACCTAGTGCAGATCTCTTGGGACCTGCAAGAAACACTCTATGGCTTTAACAGATGGCAAGCTTCAGAACTCCCCAAAAGGGCAAGGCATGATGTTGCTCACCTGGTCACTGGGCAGGATCTTGGGAGCCACCAAGGCCAGGCGTTTGTGGGGAGCATCTGCACCTCCGGGAACATGACAGGTGTGGAGGTCTTCCATCACGAAGATGTGCCTCGATTTGCGGCCCTCCTGGCCCACGAGCTGAGCCACAACCTGGGCCTGAAGCATGATCATCCAGGCTGCACGTGCCCTGATTCGCTTCTCTGTTCCATGCACACGTCCGTCACCCTGGAGGGGAGCTTCAGCAACTGTAGTGTGGAAAACTTCTATGAGATGCTGGACAGGGGCCAAGGGAGCTGCCTGTACGACAGGCCAGAGCCGAGGAGCCCCTTTGGAAGGCAGTACTGCGGGAACAGGATTGTGGAGGAAGGGGAGGCGTGTGACTGCGGCAGTCATCGCGCCTGTAAGAAGGACCCATGCTGCCTGCCCTCATGCCGGCTGAAGAAGGGCTCAGACTGTGCTTTTGGGCCCTGCTGTAGAAAATGCAGGTTTGCCCAAGCGGCCACGCCCTGTCGTCCCAGCGCGGATGAGTGTGACCTCCCCGAATACTGCAATGGCACCTCGTTGTGGTGCCAGCCTGACTCCTACAAGCAAGATGGCACCCCATGCAAGGGCGAAGGTTCCTGCTACCAGGGGCGGTGTAGGAGCCTGGAGAACCAGTGCGTGGAGGTGTTTGGTGAGGGCTCCAGAGCTGCCCCAGCCCGCTGCTATCGCATGAACACCCATGGGGACCGGTTTGGGAACTGTGGCAGCAAGTGGCAAGGGCCAGTCAGGGTCTTTATCAAGTGCCAACCCAAGGACATCATGTGCGGGAGCTTGTACTGTGAGAATGTCCAGAGGCTTCCCCATATAAAGAGCCACCATGCTTTCATCCAGTTCCGCATGGAAGACACATGGTGCTGGGGCGCGGATCTCCACGATGCCCTGGACATCCCCAATGGTGGCTTGGTAAAAGATGGCACCTCCTGCGGCCCCCGGAAGATCTGTATCAACCAGTCGTGCCTGGACGCTGGGGCCATGCTCCACCGTGACTGCAGCCTGGTCAGATGTCACGAGAGGGGCGTCTGCAACAACCTCAAAAACTGTCACTGCGACTATGGCTACAGCCCGCCCACTTGTGAATCTCAGGGCCAAGGCGGCAGCCTGGACAGCGGTCCCTCCCCCAAGGTCAGGGTCATCCACCCGAAGCTGACTGCCCTCTTCTGGCTCCTGATGGCCACCGCCCTGCTGCTCACGCCCATTACCTTTGTGGGGATTTGCTTTTGGCGGAAGATGGAGAAGGCCTGGGCCAAAGAGCTGGAGGTTCAAGATAGTTCAGTGGATAGAGAGGCTGGCTAGGCACAAGCCCCCGGCTGCACAGGGCCCTTTCATTTCTGTGCGTGCTCGTAACAGCCCAGCAGAGGGCCAGGTCACCAGCCCCCGGCTTCCCCACTAGGCACCAGGCTCTGCTAGGAAGATGGTCATGCGTCCAGTTGTTTTTGTTTTTTTTTTAATTAAAAATGAATGAATATCACTCCCACTAAAGTCCTATTGAAATCTCATGGGGTGTAGAGGTGACTGACAGAGGGTTTTTAATTCAGTTCAAGCATTTAGCGAGGCGGTATAGGGCTGGGCCTGGGGAGTTCAGTTCAGCCATTTCAGTCATGTCTGAATCATCATGACTCCATTTGGGGTTTTCTTGGCAGAGATACTGCAGTGGTTTGACATTTCCTTCTCCAGCTCATTTTACAGATGAGGAAACTGAGACAATCGGGGTTAAGTGACTTGCCCAGGGTCACAAAGCTAGTAAGTGTCTGAGTTCAAATTTGAACTCAGGAAAATGAGTCTTCCTGACTTTAGACCTGGCACTCTTTGCACTATGGTGCCACCTAGCAGCCCACTGGAGTCAGGAAGACCTGAATTTAAATCCAGCCTCGGACATTCACTGACTGTATGACCCTGAGCAAAGTCACTTAACCTCTGTCTGCCTCATCTTCCTTATCTGTAAAATGGAGATAACATATGTTTGGGTTATTTGGAGCATAAAATGAGATGATCTTTGTAAAGTGTTTCACAAACCTTAAAGTACTATATAAATGTTGGCTTTTATTATTATTATTTCAGCCATTTGAGGACAAGGGAACAGTATTTTATGGTGGAATCAGTCCACAAGCACTTATTAGGCACTTACTGTTTGCCTAGCACTGTGCTAAGTTCTTTCTAGAGCGCTGACTCTGGAGTCCAAGTACTTAAATCCTACCTATGACACTACCTGTGCGAGTCACTTAGACTGTGCCTGCCTCAGTTTCCTCATCTGTAAAATGAGGGGGTTGAAGCAGACGGCCTCGGAGGGTCCTTCCAGCTCTAGATTGGAGTCTGTGGATAGATTTCAGCAGGATGAAAGGGAGATGTCAACTTGTATGGGAAAAAAATGACATCTATATCTTTACTAAACTCAAACTGAACTCTAACGTTGCCTTTAATTATTTAAAAACCTAGGGGCAGCTAGGTGGTGCAGTGGATAGAGCACTGGCCCTGAAGTCAGGAGGACCTGAGTTCAAATCCAGCCTCAGGCCAAACACTTAACACTTACTAGCTGTGTGACCCTGGGCAAGTCACTTAACCCCAATTGCCTAAAAAAAAAAAAATTATTTAAAAACCTGATTTTAAGAGGAGGTCTGCAGATTTCTCCAGCCTGCTGCCCAAGAGATCCAGGACACAAGATCAAGAAGCCCTGAGCTAGGTCCATGATCACACATCATCCTACTGCCTGGTTGGCACTGTGTGATACAGAGACAACAAGGAAATGATCCCTGTCCTCAAAGAGGTTACATTCTCCGAAAGAAGTCAGTACAAAACATATACAGCTTCAATATAAGTGAGAGTCAGTGTGGTGGAATGGATATACCAGATGGGGGCAGTCCTACCCTGACCCCATGCTCAGCTGTGCAACCCCAGTCAGTCAGTCAACATTTATTAAGCACCTACTATGGATCAGGCACCATGCTAAGCCTCTCAGGCCACTCGTCAATAAGACGTTCATATATTGCCAGCTCTGAAGTTGGAGGCCCTGGTTCAAATTCCATCTCTGAGACTTAACACTTAGGTCATCTTGGGCAAGTCATGTCCCCTCCCTGGCCTCAGTTTCCTCATCCGTAAATGAGGGGATTGGAATACATGACTTCTGCGATCCTTTCTAGCAGCAGGTCTATGAAATGAAACACCAACCTGTATCCACACTGTGAGTTCCCTGGCCTCATGGGCAAAAACAAACAAACAAAATTACCAAAGACTTTTGGAGATGAGGGGAGAGCAGTAGCAGATGGAGGTGGAGAGGGGGAATGAGACAAGGCCTGGCAGAGGAGGGAGACCTAGAACTGAGCCCTGCTGAGAACTCAAGATTCTAGGATGTCGAGGTCCTGGGAGGGTGTGGCCATGAGCACAAGCATGGGACAGGAGGGAGCGGTCAGAGGCCAGTGCTTCCATTCTCGCTTCAAATGTTGACCACCTGTGTGACCTTGAACAAGGACCTACCTTAGTCCCCTGTGTCCTCATCTGTAAAGTAAGGCAGTTAGACCAAATGTCTTCCAAGGACACTTTTAGCTCTAGGTCAAGATCTTACAATCCCAGGTTCAGGCAGGCCCTGCCAGGCTAGAAGGACTTCAGGAACAGTCCCAGTGTCTGGTACGTCTATGTCTAAGTCTGTGTCTACGTCCATGTCTGTTTCTGTTTCTGTGTCTGTGTGTATGTCTATGTCTACGTCTATGTCTACGTCTATGTCTATGTCTATGTCTATGTCTATATCTAAGTCTCTATCTATGTTCATGTCTGTTTCTGTTTCTGTGTCTGTTTCCATGTCCATGTCTATGTCTATGTCTATGTCCACATCTGTTTCTGTTTCTGTGTCTGTGTCTGTCTATGTCTGTTTCTTTGTCTGTGTCTGTGTGTTTATGTATATGTGTACGTATGTGTGTATACATACATATATACATGTCCATATGTATACGTGTGTATGCATGTTTATGCATGCATACATATGTGCATGCATGCATATATTTAATTTTTTTCCAATGCCTGCTCAGACAGCCTGGCTAAATGTGGAGATGACCACTAACAGAAGGTTGGCCACCAAGGGTTGAATTTTTCAGCTACAGCAGTTTATGAAGTTCATCTGTTTAGACAGAGAGACAAGCATAGGTGTCAATGTATGGCATCATCTACACTGACCCATCACATATCCTTGAGGTATTGCCATGAATTTGTTGTTCAGTTGTTTCAGTTATGTCCAACTCTCCATGACCCCATTGGGGGTTTTCTTGGCAAAGATACTGGAGTGGTTTGCCATTTCCTTCTCCAGCTCGTTCTACGGGTGAGGAAATTGAGGAAAACTGGGTTAAGTGTCCAGGATCGCACAGCTAGAAAGTATCTGAGGACGGATTTGAACTCAAGAACTGACTTGACTCCAAGGTCCTGTACTCTATGTGCTATGGCGCCACCTAGCTGCCCCCTTGCCGTGAATAGGAAAAGTAAGTAGAAGCCCAGTTCTTGAGTGAGGTACTTGTCCTGATTCGGTTCCCTCCTGAAATCAGATCTCCTGAGCCAGGGGACAATAGTGAGGGCACAAGAGCCATTCTGGAAACAGAGACGTCAAGCCAACAGAAGCCCTGGGTTCAAATCTCAGCTCTTGGTCTTTAATCTCCCTCGTCCTCAGTTTCTTTCTCTGTTAAATGAGAAGGTGGAACTCGGTCACCGCTAAGGTCTCTTCCAGCTCCAAACCGAGGATCCTTCTGATGTCAGGAGTGGGGAGTGCGGGGATGTTGTCCGGGACTCTAAGAATCACTCCTGAATTCCCCCGACCTTCTCCCAAGAAGCTCTTGGTCTGGGGACCCTTGGACCTCCTTACTAATCCCCCTGGCAGGAGAAGGGATGCCCCGTACCTTAGCAAGCCCCTGAAACTCCAGGAGTTCCCACCGAATCCTACCGCAGTCACCTGGCTCACTCTGCCTCTAACTCCAGGGCCATGGTGTGAACTTCCCCAGCCTGTGTTTGTCTTTTGAGCTATGGTGACCCTGCAGTTGGAGACACCAAGCTCCGGTCACTGGAAAGCTCAGGAGAAGGTGGCCTAGGCATTCCCAGCACCATTCTCAGCTCAGAAGACCCAACCTAACTTTGTCTTGCCCCTCCACTCCCACCTAAGATTCATAAGCTCTTAGAGTCAAGCCCTTTCATTGAAGAACTGAGGCCCTGAAAAGTGAAGTATCTCCATTGGTGACATAATGCATAGTATTGGGCTTGGAGTCGGGAAGTCCCGAGTTTGAATCCTACCTCAGACACTTACCAGGGCAAAAGTCACTTAACATCTGTCTGCCTCAGTTTTGCTCAAGAGTAGCACCTCCCTCCCAGAATTGTTAGGATCAAATGAGATAATTTATGTAAAGTGCTTTACAAACCTTGAAGTGATATGTAAATGTGAGCTGTTGCCCAAGATCGTACAGAGAATAATTGTGAGAGGCAGGATTTGAAACTGTGTCATCTGACTCCAAATACAGTCTTCTTTGTACTGCATCTTGTGTAAAATGAGAGCATTGAACTAGCTGACCTCTGGAGTCCCTTCCAACTCTAAATCTCTGATACCCAGACATCAGCTCTCCAGTGTTATGGGTCAGTGGAGAACAGGCAACATTACTGGGGACCCGAGACCTGGGTTTGAATCCCAACTACTTTTACTACTTGTCGGTTCCTTTCTCTGGGCCTCATTCTTTTCATCAGTAAAATGGGGGCGGGGCGGGGAAGAGAAGCTAGGTGGCACAGTGGATGGAGTGTAGGGCCTAGAGTCAGGAAGACTCATCTTGCTGAGTTCAGATCTAGCTGTGTGACCCTGGGCAAGTCACTTCACCCTGCTTGCCTTAGTTTCTTCATCTGTAAAATGAGCTGGAGAAGGAAACGGCAAACCACTCCAGTATCTCTGCCAAGAAAACTCCAAATGGGGTCACGAAGAGTCAGAGAGGACTGAAACGTCTGAACAACGATAAAGTGAGGGGCTTAGACTAGGTAACTTTGAAGGTCCCTTCCAGCTCTCGGTCACCAGTCCTATAATTCTGTGATATGAAACCAACTTGCCAGGAAATGAGGGTCAGTTGCTGATCCTTTGGAATTCCTGATCATTTCCTTCACTTAAGCCTAGTTTGCCTTAAAACTCCTGTCCCACCAGCATGTAGTGATTTTGAGAGGCTGGTCAAGCCTTAGAATAGAGTGAATAAGAAAACAGAAAGAAGAGTATTTGAAAGCCCCCTAGTTCCAGGAAAGTCAATCTTGACCTTGTTTTTTCATGCTTCTTGAGGCCCCCCCCTTCATACACCCCCCCCCATGTCCCCACCCCCAAGGCCTCTGTTATAGTTAATCTCAGACTAGGTGTTGGAGGAAGTAAGTGTTTATTCCTCCCCATCTCCAAGGGAACAGAGTTGCATGTCTAACAATAACATTTATAAATAATTATCTGGGGTTTGGTTGTTTCCATAAGGGAGTTCCACAATTCTGAGCCTCTCTAAGGTAATGATAGCCACCCAGGAGGTGGGGGTGGGCTTATCTCCCTGAATTGAGATCTTTACAACTAGAAATGGATGGTGACAGGAGACACATGACTGAGAAGAGACCATACCCAGGGCAACTAATAACCAACCCAGTCACCAATGTCCAAGCTCCAATATCAATAATCCTCTGAGGGCTGGAATCCGGGGGGTACTGGGAGGGGCAGCTCGTAGTGGCAGTATCCCATGGTCCTCCTCGCCATCACTGCCTGGTAGGCATATCCTGCAGAGTGTCCCCACCTTGGTGGCCCCAATTCCTCTCAAGCTTCAGAGGACAGTGGAGGTAGCATCTGCCAGAGCAGGTCTAGACTCGGGGGCAACTAGACCACCAGTGTAAAACCTCTTCTGGGAGCGTAGCAGGGGAGTCTGGGTGTCTGCATCCCTCCGGGCCTCCTGCCTGAGCCTGTGGAATCTGTGTTGCGTCCAGCCGTAGACCCCACAGTTGAGCAGACCCTGCGATGCTGCTGTGAGAGCCTAGGGGAAACAGAGGGGTATTGATCTCTACTTTGCAGTCTTCCACATGGAACTCTTGCCCAATGAGGACTATTCTGTTCTCAGCCACCCATCAGCCTTTGCCTTTTCAAAGGATATTTCTACTTCTTAGAACCATAACTGAGATGTTTTCTTCTTGAGTGGTGGTTACATAGGGAATGGCCAACAAGGAGAGAAAGAAAGCTTGCCCGGGGACACCTCAAGATTTCTACGTTGCTGAAAGGCTGGTCACTGCTGAGGAGGCAGGGGAGAGGTGAGCCAGGGGATGGGGATACACACACACAGCACAGTGGTGCTGTTGATACCCTCTAAATTTCAGCACCCAGAAGACCATACTCTGACTGCCCCACCCTCGTTACACATCTTACATTTCCTCAAGCTCACTCACCGAGCCCTAGCATCGGCTCCCCTGCCCTAACTCATAGTGGACACTGCCTGTTGCCGCCTCAGTGCTACCAGGGCACTGGTCAGAGAGGCAGGGGACATCCCTCTAGTAGCCACATCCCATCCCAGGCTTTAGAAGTTTGAAAGAGTTGGCTTAAATGGGGTTTGCCAATTTGTCAATGGCTTCTTAGTGCTCTCTGTACCAAGCTGAATCTTCAGAGGGACAGTTAATTCCCAGGCTGTACATAAAAGCAGAAAAGCCTGATAGGAAGCCAGGAAGAGCTGGGTTCAGGTCCTGCCCCTGGCATATACCAGCTGTGTGACCCTCCCTGCTTCTCAGTCTCCTCTTCTATAAAATGACAGAGTTGGACTAGCACAGGGGTGGGGAACCTATGGCCCCAAGGCCACATGTGACCCTCTAGGTCCTCAAGTGCCACCCTTTGACTGAATCCAAACTGCTAGTTCTGGACTAGCAGATCCCTGTTCCCATCCCCAAGTTCCCTGAATCCATCATCCTGTGATTTTTCTTGTGTCAGCCTTATCTTTCAGTCAGATCATTGCCTGCAAGCGGACCACCACCTTCAAGTTTCCCAGAAGTTAAATTCCTCCCAAATATTTTTGTCTCCCCCCCAAAATAATTACATTACTTTCTACCCAGTTTCATGAAAGTACAGCCTAGAGCTTTTATTTTTTCTTACATACACCCCACTCCTCCATTTTGCCTTTTTTTTTTTTAATTTTGGTCCAGACTTGTGATTTCATTGGTATTTTTTGGAACTCTTCTTTTAGGGTCCAGACTTGTAATTTCATTGGTATTTTTTTATTCTTCTCTTGGGGGTCTAGATTTGTGATATCATTGGTATTTTTTATTCTACTTTTGGGGTCTAGACTTGTGATTTTATTGGTATTTTTGGGGGGGGGAGTCTTTTGGGATCCAGTCTTGTGATTTTATTGTTGTTGGAAATTCCAAGTATAAAAACTCTTTGCAGTGATACAAATCAGCTGTTTATAGTCTTAGAAAGTTGCCTGGGTCACTGAGAAGTTAAATGACTTGCCAGAGGTCATCCAGTTAGGATATGTCAGAGGTGAGATTTAAACTCAGATCTTCCTGACTCCAAGGCTGGCCCTCTCTTTACTATATCATGCTGCCAGCAAGGCACCTCAGCCAATGAAACCAACTGGAATCCTGCACTCTTCAGAATGTATTTGGGCATTTTGGCAAAGCAGTCTCCTCACAGGTTAGGGTGCCAATTCTGCTTACGTTTAGCCAATGGGGAACATTTATTTATATGGACCAAGGAGGTTGGAGGGCAGAGGTCAGAGGAAGGAAAGCAGGGGGCAGAAGGGCAAGGATGAGGCAGGAATGAGTTACCTGGAGAACATAGAGGGCCATGTGCAGCTGGGTGTTCTCTGGCCTGGTCAGCTTTATGATCACCAAGATGGCAGCTGCGAATACAGAATACTGTCTTTAAGTATTTGAAGGCTATTGCTATCTAGAAGAGGTTTAGCATTGTTCCACTTGGCCCCAGAAGGCAAATGGAAACCAGGAAATCACCCCCTTTCCCCCCCAAAAAAAAACAAATTCAAGTTTAATGTAGGGAAAAACTTTCTAATGAAGTGAGCCTCCTCAGGAGGGAATGGGTTCCTCTTGTCCTCATTCCAAGTCTTCAAACAAAGGTTGAACAGCTTTTGGGCACAGACTAGAGATAGGAAACTGGCTCAAGGAGACGGGAAACTAGATGACCACCAAGGACCCTTTCCATTCTGATAAGTCTATGATTTTTGGTAAGTTCCCGTGGCCCTCCTGGGCTACGGAATCACTGGAAATGAAACTGGGAGCTTCATGGACATTTAGCTTCAAGTCTGAAGATACAAATAACCTGGCAGGTCTTCTGTCTCTCTTTCTGATGGATTTCACTGGAGTCTGGGCATTAATGGTGGATGGATTGCCTATAGGAAGATACTGTTCCCTCATTCTAAGTTTACCAAGCAAAAGCTGGATGACTACTTGCTAGGGAGTCAGAGGTTTAGGTTTAGAGATCTAAAACTAAAGAATCCATGGCCCTTCTTTTATAGGAGAGGAAACTGAGGCCAAGAAAGTTAAAGTGATTTGCCTAAAGTCACACAGCTAGGATTCAAACCCAGATTCTCTGACTCCAGGTCCAGTGGTTTTTCTACTGTACCACAAGTTCTGCCTCAGCTTCTCTTTAAAGGGGGCAGGCACACAGTGGAAAAAAATAGTGGGTTGAAAAAAAAAAAGAAAATAGTGGGGGGAGGGTGGAGAAACCAGGGGATGTGGATAGATCCAGTTGCAGGGAGTCAGGAAGAACTGAGTTCAAATCTGACCTCAGACACTTACTAGCAGTGTGACCCTGGGCAAGTCATTTAACCCCATTTGCCTCAGTTTCCTCATCTGTTAAATGAGCTGGAGAAGGAAATGGCAAACCAGTCCAGTGCCTTTGCCAAGAAAACCCCAAAAGAGGTCACGAAGAGTCGAAAACAACTGAACAACAGTGCAGTTTTGAAGGCCTCAGAGACTTTGACAGGCTGGTTCCCTCAAATCCTTTTTCTGGGCTGGAGCTATTCTTCCCTGGGACTCCTCAAACCCTGAGCTGCTCACCTGGACCCCAGCAGCAAAAGAAGGCGGCTGGATAGAAACACACTCGGTGCTCCACCACCCGGATCGAGGCCCATTGCTCGTCCCCCAGGAAGCCAGTAGATTTCACGAACCTCTTATACAGCATCTGGGCCCGCATGAGTAAGGCCTGGAGAGGAGAAGGGAGAGGAAGGTAGATGGAAGCAATGGTGTGTGAACATAATGGAATACGACTATGCTGGAAGAAATGATGAAGGACATAGTTTTAGAGAGACTTAGGAAGACTTGTATGAACAGAGGCAGAGTGAAGTGAGCAGAACCAGGAGAACAATTTATACGATAATGCCAACACCATTAAAACAAACAAGTTTGAGACTTAAGAACTCTGATCAACACAATGACCAATCACGATTCTGGAAGCTGATGATGAGAGATGATCAATGTCACATCAATCATATACTTTTTGGATGTGACTAATGTGGGAATTTGTTTTGCTTGATTATGCATGTTTATTACAAGGGATTTACCCCTGTTGGAAGGAGAGAAACTAGATTTTTGTTCATTTGACATTTTTAATTTAATTTTTAAAAAAAACAACCAATGCAAAAAATGTCCTGGCATCTCAAGGCAAATTCCAATGGTTATTAACTCTGGGATCAAATACAGTTTCCACTATTTGGCATTTAAAATTCTTCACCACTGGCCTCTAACCTACCTTTCCAGCCTTCCCCAGTCAGTTAATAAAATAAGTCAATAAGCGTTTATTAAGCACCACTTAGTATGTGGTGGGCCATGTGGTGGGCGATGGAGATTCAAGATAAAAATAGAACAGTCCCTGCCCTCAAGGTGCCTACGTTCAATTTGCACGTAAATAGTATATACAGAATCTATTCAAATTTTGGGAGAGTATAAGCCACTGGGAGGCTCAAGTCAGGCGATATGTAGAAGGTGGGTCTTGAACTGAGGCTTGAAGGAAACTAGAGATTTAAGGAGGGAGGGCATTCCAGGTATGGGCCATGGCCAGTGCAAAGGCAGGAGGCAGGAGATGAAAGGTTACATGGCCAGTTTCCTTGGACAAGAAGGGGAGGAATGCATAATAAGGCTGGAAAGGTACTTGGGGCCAGGTTATAAAGGACTTTAAAGGCCAAATAGTAGTTTATATTTTTATCCTTGAGGCAACAGGGAACCACTGGAGCTTATTGGGTGAAGCAGTGACCTGATCAGATCCGCACTTTAGGAAGATCACTTCAGCAACCGTATGGAGTATAGGTTGGGTGGGAAGGACAACCAGAAGGCTGCTGCAGCCGCGCAGGGGAAAGGTTATGAAGAGCTGAAGTGAGGGGAGAGAAGAGGGCATAAAGGGGAGATGTGGAGGCAGAAGTGATGAGATTTGACGACAGGTTGGATATGTGGAGTGAAGGAGGGTAAGGAGTCACCCAGATTGTGAATTAGGGTGATTGGAAGAATGATGGAGTCCCCAGCAGAAATAGCTAAGTTAGGAAGAGAAGAGAATGTGGCAGCAGAGATGATGAGCTCTGTCCTGGGCACTTTGAGCTTAAAATACACAATAGACGGTGATGAGGATCGTAACTCGGAGGTGACCCCTGCTGTTCAGTCATTTCAATCACGTCCGACTCTCCCACACCCCATTTGGGGTTTTCTTGACAGAGACAGGAGTGGTTTGTTCTCTCCTTCTCCAGTTCATTTTACAGATGAGGAAACTGAGGCAAACAGGGTGAAGTGGATTGCCCAGGGTCACACAGTTAGTAAGTGTCTGAAGCTGGATTTGAACTCAGGAAGATGAATCTTCCTGACTCCAGGCTGGGAACTCTATCCACTGTGCCACTTAGCTGTCCTAGAAGAGACTCTAGGACTTGGTAAATAAATCTGAGATATGTATATACATGTGTGTGTGTGTGTGTGTATGTGTGTGTGTGTGTGTGTACATACATATATATTGAGATAGAGAAGAGAGAGACAGGGAGGGAGAGGGAGAAGGGGAGAGAGAGAGAAAAAGGGAGAGAAGGAAAGGAGAGAGAGAGAATTAAACTGGTAGGAGCTAATGAGGTCCCAAGGGAGATAGCAGAGAGAGAAAAGAAGAGTCCCAGAACAGAGCTGTGTGCTAGACTACAGTTAAGGGGTTCAATGTGAATGGTGAACCATCAAAGAGAATTGAAAAGGAAGCGGAGTTCAGACAAGAAAGGGCGGTGTCATGAAAACCCAGAGAGGAGAGAGGGCGATCAATGCTGTCAGATGTTACATAGAGGTAGAGAAGGATGAAGCCATTCAGATTCAGTAATTAACAGATCACTGGTGATTTGGGAGACAACAGTCACTCAGCTGAATACTAAGCTTAGAAGCCAGAATGCTGTGAGCTTAGAACACAGTAAGAGGAGAAAAAGTGGGGCTAACAAGTATAAATAAGTTTTCTAGGAGTTTGGTTGCAAAAGGCAGGGAAAAGATAGGATGATAATTTGGGGGGATGGCTGGGTCTGGGTCTGGAGAAGTTTAGGGCTTTTTAAGGATGGGGTTGACATGAAAGTGTTTGCAGTCAAGTGGGAAGGAATCCATAGAGCGATTCAAGGTTAGGGAGGGTGTGACAGTTATGAGGGAGACCTGCTGAAGGAGACGGGAAGGGTGAGATCAAGGATACATAGAGGAATTGGCCTTGGGGAGGAGAAAGGCCCCCTCTTCATCAGACCCTGGAGTAAAAGAAGAGAGAAAGGTGGATAACGCCAATGGGTTTTGAAATGCTGCAAAGGGGAAAAGAGCAAACTTCATGACAAATGTCCTCAATTTTCTCAATAAATTGCAAATTGAGGTGTCAAATGCCAAAAGCTGTATTTTAAACCAGATCTTCCTAAATACAAGTTCAAGACTCTATCCACAGTGTCATTCTGCTTCATGACACTGAGGAATCTTCCAACTCTGAGTTTCTGAGACCAAGATTGACCCATTTGGGGTGGAGTACTCTGGGAAGAACCAGTATTATGCAAATTGTCCCAGACCTGAGAAGCAGCCCCACCCAACCCTGGACTGCTAGACAGTCAGCCCCAGAAAGCAAGTTGGCACCGTACCACAATAGCGAGAAGACTGAGAAGGAAGCTAGTCAGGAAGACGATGAGCCCGTAAAAGTAGAGGACCCTGCAGACTGAAGTGCTGGCAGAGGGCAGGAGTTCAGCCATGGCTGGGGGTGGCGGGTGCATCAGGAGACACCTAGGATGTATGAAAGAATGGGAGTCAGGGGGGCAAAGCAGCTATGGTCCTAGGACCAGAGAGATGCCAATGGCTAACTCAAAGCAATGAATATGTCACTATGAGACCCATCAGAATGTCCAGGATGCTTTGGGGGTCTCTGGTCACTACCAACCCCACTCCTCACTCACACATACACACACTCAGACACACACACCTACACATACCCAAACACATGCACACATGAAAACATACAAACACATACACACACAGACATGAACACAAATACATGCATACATTGTCCTAATAGAGTAATAATAGTATCTACCTCACAGGGCTGTTACAAGAATCAGTATCTGTAAGGTACGAGATCATATCTATAAGGTACTTGGCAAAACTTAAATCACTATGTGCACATTAGCTGTTATTATTAGTACTAGACAATGGGAACTGGATCTGTGGTTTCATTGATGTGGATGCTGCCCCACCCTGAGGCAAGCTTTGTGGTCCGTGGAAGAAGGCTTTATACTTCCAGGGAGATATGAATTCTGATGAGTGGAGAGACTTCTGAGAGAGGGGGGAGAGAGAGAGAGAGAGAGAGAGAGAGAGAGAGAGAGAGAGA